AATGTTACATAAATATCTGGGGTGGAGACTTGTATGAAGTCTCTTAGACCCTTCCTTTAGTTTCTTGTCCCATAGCAAAGCTACTTAACTCTATATAAGCATCTGCACTGCAATTATACAAATACAAATGTACTTTGTGCTCACTTTAAGTACTTGTGGTTGTAAGTTTTCCTTCTTCAAGTGCTGCTAACCACACTTCTATACAAATTGTTACCTGAAAAATAGTACTTGTCTTAAGTTTCACTATTTGGTCATCTGTCCTTTAGCAAAATATACAGAATAGCTGGGCATACTGTGTTTGTAATTGTAAAACACTAGTCTGGAATCCCAATTTATTAATTACTCTCAGGGGGCTGAGTGAAAGAAAAGTATGGTATCATTTTTCCAAGAGGTTCATGAAGGAGTAAATTCAGTTATTCTCTCAATACAGACACTAGACACTGTCTTCAATCAGACTGATGTCCAGAGACTTTCAAGGAAGAAGATGAAAGTAGTACTCTTTTTACCCACAGGCTCTGCATGGTCACCTGTACTGACATTTGTTGAAAGAGATTAAAAGTTATATGAACTTAAATTATTCTGGATTTCTCTCTCTGGGTTCTCTCAACTGCAGATGGGGAGGACCCACAGATGCAGACAGGGATTGCTGATTCAAGAAGTGCAGCCATTTCTCTGCAGTATAAAGGCATCGTATAAATAACAGAATGTGGCTAAGGCAAAGTTGCCACAGTAATTATAGCATCAGAAGACTAAATGAGGGAAGCCCAACATGGTCAGGGGCACAGATTCAAGGCTTTTTCTGAGAGGAAAATCATCTCTAGCAGTTTTATGAAGCTTACCTACTATGACAATGTATATCTGCAATGCAAAATTTTAGCAGTGTCACTGCAGAATTTGTATTCTCTCCTTGGAGAAGGCTTTTTGCCAGCTAGTAGCATTACTGTGTATTGGAATCTTCTGTGATGCAGAAGAAATTTGCTTAAATCCTATTTTTCTCCATGGATGAGAAAACCATCTTCTGCTACTGCCTACACAGAAAGCATTAACTATGTTTGACACCAGAGATTAATGCTGTTGAAATTATTATAAAATCATAAACCACAAACTGTGATGTTACACAGGGAATAAGAGGGTGAGTAATGAGGGTAGATATATTTTATAGCCACTAGAATCCTAATTTCATAGAAATAGTGTCAATAATTCACCAGCAATTAAAAAAAAAGCTACCTTGGGAAGTGATCCAAGAGCAAGTGATTTATATCAGCTATCTCACCTATGCCTCGAAAATACACCATCTCATGAAGATGTAAAAGAATAGCACAATAAAAGCAATTTTCCTTCTAATGTAAGCACAAATATTTGGGTTTAACATCAGCATTGTGATTATCCAATCCTTTAATATATTTTTAATCATTCAGTCAGCAAATGTATCCTACTTTTTTAGAGTAAGTGAACTTTACAGCTATGTAGTTTGCCAGAGTTTCATTGTTTCATTAAAAATGAAATGGCTATCAGATCATAGTAAGTTAAAGCACAATGTTTAATGCAATAACATGTGGTAATAAAAAAGATACTAGGATGTGCAAAGAAAGTTTACAGAATTAGAAAGCAAACTAGCGTATCCAGAAATTATGTGGATATTTATCTAGATGAATGAACTCTTCACACAGTCTTGTAAAGCTATAGTCTTTTTCCTTCTACTACTTTCCATCTAGTCATATCAGGATGTCCTGAGCCAGCACAACAAATGAGTGCTGTTCTAAATTAGAATTTGATGGCAGTTAATCACAATATTATAAATTGTGTTTCTATCAATGTACTATATAGTCTGTGATACAGAACTGTGCATGTGTTGGATTTTGATGTCCTAACTCCTGTGAGGACACATCTTTACTGAAAGTCAACAGGAGAGTAAAATAAATACTTATAAGAGAAATATTAAGGATCAGTTATGACATTTTCTAAAATTGCTTTTTCTGTCAAGGGACATAAATATATACTTGGTGCTGACAGGTGTTGATAAGTCTGGAGAAGGCTTCTTAAAAACAAGAGGTAATGGAAGAGACCACTACCAGAGCCTAGGGAATCATTTGATATTGCCCTTTAACTTCTTAAGAAAGGCATAGGAACTGTCAAAATCTGTGTTCTGAGCTGAAATCTATAGATATTAACTGTAAGACAAGGGAAAACAAAATTGTTCTGGATGCATTAGAGTTTAATTGGCACCATTACAGTTTAAGTGATGTGAATTATGTCAAGATGAAACTCTGTTTTGGTTATACCATAGAGATAGTGTTATGGTTTTGATCAGTATTATTTCACTTGGCATAGCTTCACTGCTTTTAGACGCAAAAGCTTATATTTTTTTAGCCATAGTTAGGTGATTGGAGTCAATCCCAGACTTCTTCAAAATTAGTCCAAAAGGAACTCCCACCCAAAAGTCACACAGGAGCCTTGAAGATGTCTGTGATTTCCTGCTGAAGGATTTCCTCCACGTCAGAAAGCCAGCAGCATTTCTGGTGTGGATGATTTGACTACTGTGGGCAATTTCACTTCAGATGGGATGTGGGAGTAATTTAGTTCACATCAGTATCACTAGGAAACCTTCATTTCAGCACTTAAATTTTGCAGATACTCATTTGAATATCGGAACTTCAAGCAACGTAGCCCAAACTATTACTGAAAATACAGTTTGACATGAAAGGAAACAGTTTTAAAAATCTACTTCTTAGGACATCCTGCAAAATGTCATGTACCATTAGTGACGGTTGAGTCAGAACAGGTTTGGAAGAGGGACTTAAAATATATTACCATCCTTCCTTCATATCCTTGTCTCTCTGATGTTCCAGTTTGAAGCTTGCTTAACTCCAGTTTGAAGCTTCCCTAACTCTCCTCAACATTCCTTTTCTCTGTATTTCACCTACATGCTGGATGTTCTATTTCTTACCTTGCTTCATTGTGTTTATTCATCAGCTACACCAGATTTTGATGTTCAGTTCACTATTGGCACTGGAAACTAGTCACCACTGTTACAGTTTGGTCAAGGCTTGAAGGGGCCCCTGCCAGAAACAAGTCGGGGCTTGTCAGAGCGAAGTTGGGTCTGGTTAGACATTAAGGCTATGCTGACCAACAAGAA